GTTTTTCACAAAATGGAGGTTTACTTACATCGAAAAGTCCAAGATTTTTAGGTTTGGAAGGTTATTAAATAGGAGGATTAGAATTTTGATTTTTTTCTTCCATGGGAAAATTATTTAATTTTTACTTATTATTTTTTACTGCTTTTGTGCACACAACATTCCTAGAAATCCAGTATTAAACTAATACCAAGCGGTATTCGTACATGACACTGCCAAAGCGGCATTGAAGACTAATACCGCATAGTAATAGTTTAGCATTAAAGTTTTACCGTATCGGTAGCAAATTTTTACGTAAAGGTATAATTGTTAAAAATTAAATTATAATTAAATTATATTTGTCAAAAAATTAAGAGCTAGATTTCTAACCAAATTTTCTGAATACGTACGTAAATAGTTTGTAACATAAAAATGTTAAATTTGTCACGGCTTGGTAACAATATGAATTTCGTGGTAAATAAGTATTACCAAGTTTCATGCCATATTTTTACCGGCATTTGGTGGTATTCTTGATGCACCTCCCCTTTTCCGGTGCGACTAAATAAAGCATCTTATACCTGACTTGAATTGCTTTAATCCGAAGATTTATGTTCTTCTTGGTCCTTCTCATCTTCTATTTCGTCGGTGAAAGCTGGGGTAGTTTGTTGTTGTCATTAATTCTTAAATGGGTGCGATACGAGGGCCCGGCAGAAAGAATGTGGGCCCAAAATTTCTGGGAAATTTTAAACCTAGGCAATTATCTAAGTGAGTGCAATTATGTGGGAAATTAATATGGAAGTATTAGCGATGAATTTGTGAATTTTACGAAAATTTGTATCTATGCCAGGCCAAATTTGCCGTGTTTCCTGGCAAAATTTGTATGCAGCTATTTATTAACATTTATTAACCAGGCGAAAAAAGTGAAGCGTACTTATTGCGATCATTTGTTCGTCTGGATGTCCATCAGTTTTCAAAATTTTGGTCAACAAAATTTTTGGTATCTTTTCTTATTTTCCAAATTTTACGTGATTAATTCTGATTTTTACTAAAATTCAAGGCACTTGGTTTAATTGTATTTATTTTTTTGTCAGAATTCTACACATTTATTTTCTTCGTGAGGAATATTACGGGGATTTATTTTCAGGACTAAAATTTCGGCCATTTATTTTTTTGGCCAAAATTCCTAACATTAATTAATTCCCGGGGAATTTAATAAGATACGATAATACTTATTTGACCTCTACTACCCACCGAAAATTGATGACATGCATTCTGTATTACCCCGCAGATTATAGAACTGCTCAACCCAGAAATTTATGGCCCATCAGAATAAATATGTTTTTGCTTTGGCGTGGTGATTCGGTATATGAGAAGAATTTATAAGTAGTTAAGCAAGCAAATAGTTCAAGAAATGGGTTTAAGTAGCCCGACAAACATTTCTATTTGGCTAAATGTGTCAATTATATTTTTGCCAATTTATGGCATGGCCAAAATAGTGAGGGTTTATTTTCATGCCTTCGACATTCGATTCATAGTTCGTAACATTACGTCCCATCTAAATATCTAAACGACAATTACGAAACTTTAAAACATTTGAGAAATTAATAATTTCGACGTGTAACAAGCTCATTTATAAATCACGCAAAAAAAAAATGCGACAATTCAATCAGCCCTTGGTAACTTTGTAAAATTGGTAAATTTTGTAATTGACACCGAATCTTTTAATATTCATGCTTGATAGTTTTATCATATCACCTTTTAAAGTGAATGGTTTTGGCAGCGTCAGTTTTGGTGCATTGTTGCCATTTCATGAGACGGGTGAGAATTTGATAACGGGGAATTAATGACGGGGAATTGAAAAAGCAGGGAACTTGTGGGGTGAGAATCGATGGGGGGAAATCCGTGACGGGGAATTGATGGGCGTAAAAATGCACAGTACCAATTTTACAAACTTTTGAAAAATGATGCCCTTCATCTGAGTAATTTTGCAATAATTTCTAAGCTAATTATCCTCAGAAACAATCTAATTTTCCTTGGAAATATTTGCAAAATTTTGAAGAGGTTTGTAAGGTTATAGTATTTGCGGAATTTACAAGGTTACCAAGGACCGCGTGAATTGATTCAATTTCAATAAATTTCAGGACAAAAATTGGATATTTATTAATTTATTTTATTCTCTACAAACCTTATACTTTTCCACTAATAAATAGAAATCTATTAAAATTTCTAATTTGTATAAAACCCTGACAAATTATTAGTTTCGGCGTGTAAGACACACAAAATGTATAAAAATTACGGTAAATATTGTCTAAAAATAAGCATTTCACGATTATAACGTGCAAAATAAGGAGATCCCGAGAAATTTATGCTTATTGGTCAAAATTTCGATAAAAATCTGTTATAGAGGCAATTCACGCAGTTCTTGATAACTTTGTAAAATCCATAAATTTTGTAAGATAATCTTACAAACTTTTCAAAATAAAGACAACGGATTTTACGGATTTGAAAATGTTAACAAGGAGTCCGTGAATTGCATCAATTTCAATAATAGTAACAATGGAGGTCTCCCAACGTATGCTCACAGATTTGGACGAAATTAGTGTCAATCAATCACAAATATAATTAGTATCAAATTTGCAAATTGAACTATCTGCCAATACGCAGGTTTGGCGGAGATATTTGCATTCAAAACAGAAAAAATGCGCAGGAAATTTGGAAAATGAAAAATATGCCAGCCTTTTGGTACGTTTTCTCCTATTTTTATGCAAATATCTCCGCCAAACCTGCGCATTGGCAGATAGTTCCATTTGCAAATTTCATACTAATTATATTTGTGATCGATTGACACTAATTTCGTCTAAATCTGTGAGCATACGTTGGGAGACCTCCATTGTTAATCAGAATTAAAGTAAGTGATACATACATAAAACGTGGCATGTAACAAAAATTAGAGAATGGTACTCTAGATACAATGAAGGTTAATTTTATGACGTTATTCTATTTTATAGGATTTCAAGCAAACTATAATCCTGACATGGCACTCAAGAAAAATATAATGTATTTTGTATGATCGCATACATATTTTCAGATTTAGAACGTAAATTTATTTCACAATCGGTAGTATTGTTACGTACATTAAGAAATGAAATTAGTCGACGTCTCTAAAAATATCTGGTATGTAGTGAAATATTTATAGTCTATTCAGATTCGTCAAAACTTACATCCAGATAGGGTAAAACATGTAAAATAATCTTCAGGTAATTAACGTAATAATTGGTTATTTTGTCAAATCCGTTAGTTTTGTCAAACAATTTTACCAACTTTTACACAGAGGCCAATTTATTTAACTTTTTAAAAATTTGTATGCTAATTTTCTTCTGAAACATTTCTAAAATTTTGTAGAAGTTTCGTAAGTTTAAGGAATTTATGAATTTTACGAAGGTAACAAGACCTGTATGAATTGCCTAATTGAGAAAACTCTAATTAATTTATGACACAATTTTTTAATTGAAAATAATTATGTTTTTCAGAACCCTAAAAAATTACGATGGAGTAGAGAAACTCGGCTGAAGAAGAAGACTCGATGAAACCAGAATGGTGCAAATTCTTATCAAGAGAAAGTTAAGCTTAATGTGGTTTTTATTAATTAATCAAAATAAATAATAATTCTGAATCAAAGTTTTTATCCCATAAATTTAACATAATTGTATTTAAATTAAGCATTTTCTATATCGAAAACCTAATCGTGTACCTTCCTTAATTATAAAAGTAATTAATGTCTAATTACCTCATTTACACAATTAAAATATCAACCTTTCAAAGCAATTCAGTGGGATGTTTATAGTAAATTAGTAAAATTATGTTTCCACGATTCGAAACAAAAGATTCCACGATAAAAGTAGTTTCCAAATCAGTTTAGTAATTTTACGACAGATTTACAGATTTATTTACATTATTTTGCGTTCGCTATAAGGGTTTATCAGGTTACAAAGTTGAATGTGAATTATGTTTCAAATTTGATAAATTTACGCGACGTAATTAATTTACAAATGTAATTTAATATTTGTAAACTGTAAAATTAGATAAAAGTCAGGTCGTCTTCGTAAATATTTTTCATTTTGAAAGTTTGTAAAGTTATCGAATTTGTGAAATTGCAAAAAATAAGTTTACTACAAACATCCGAGGGAATTGTGTTGATAAACAATTCCTAAACATCAATATCGTTCAAATGAAAATAACAAAATTGTCACCGAGTATTATTCCACTGAATTAATTTTAATCGAATGGTAACAAAAATTACTACGTAATTCAAATTTACTTCTAAACAAATTGATCAACCTAACAAGGAAGAAAATTTGGATGTCGTATACGATCCGCATTCATTACCATCCCCATCCGCAAAAATTGGTCGCCAAATGGTCGAAAAATGAGCAACCCGACCGTCGGGTTTTCATACGGCTAAACGACGTCGGAGAGACGTCGACTAATGCGACGAAAATTTTGCGACCACTTTTAGCAGTTGATTCGACCATCATATTATAAGACAATACGACCATATTATTTTAGGTCAGTTTAACTACTTTTTCAACGCCTTTTCCACCGTCGCATAATTGAAAATTTTTCAACGGCTTTGCGACCGTTGCATAATTTAAGATTTCTCAACGTAAAATCCACCATTTCCCCATCCAAGTGCCATGCTTCCGCGATTCTCAAGTCAGTCCACACCATCACATTGTGCTCATCGAGTCACACTTATTTCTTGTCCTTCCAAATTAAAAAATAAATCTTCATGTCATCCCAAATTGACAAGGCAAAAAAATATTCCATAGTCCAATTCGATTCCTCAGGGACAAAGTTAGTTGAGATTGTCCCAATAATATGGATCGAAGAAGACCAGAAAGAAGTATTTTGGCCACTTTGTAAAGGATCTGCCTTAAAGACTATGGTGAAAAAGTGCGAAATTGTTCCGCTGCCATCCTGGACTTCTCACACTTTTGAAAAAATTCTAGGAAGTTATGGTAAGATTTAGAAACATCTTTTGTTGTATAATAAAATGTCAGTTCAATGTATGGCCTGTGATAATTTACTATTATTATTAGGTTCATTTCACGACGCCTGTTTGAAGCTAAAACAAGCTGAGGATACCTCAAACATTGAAAGTAGCCAGGAGGACGACATAGGAATCCGACGTGGACGCAGGGTCCAGAAAAAGAAGGATGTCGTAATTGAGAGCCGTGATTCAAGTAGTGATTCTGAATTGGATCTGGATAATAGTTTATTCCTTGCTCCTCCCACAACGCAAATCAGTGAGGATCAATTTGACATTACGATCGGTAAGTTAACTGGGTTAACTTCTATTTTTATATTTCTTAACATTTATATATTTAACTTGTTTTGTTGTCAAGAATCTACCGGCGACCAGCCCCACCCTCCAGATGAGAATAATCAGCAGGTAGCAGTCGTTCCAGAAATTCCTCAACCTGTTATCGTTCAAGAGGATTTTGATGTTGAACAGGATCCTAAGTTATTTTTGGCGACGGCAGCGGATACAGCTGACATCAAGTCTCTAATTGAAGGCATGTTTTTGTTAATATGTTATACATATTATATTTCTATATTTATGGCTATTACACTTATTACAACTTATTTTATTAATTTGATGCTGTTTAGGATTCATGAAAAAAAGTTTCGAGTTATTAGAGAGACAAGCAGAAGATATAAGGGAAATTAAAGCTGCCATTCACACGTTGCGTGCAAATTCACAAGGTGGCAATTTGCTCCCAGATTATTCTATTATACCACCTTTGCCGATCGCTGGGAGATTGGAACTCGTGGCTTTTGAGGATTGGCTGAAATCATCCGATTCCCATAAAAAACTGCTGGTACAATAAAAACATATTTCTTAAATAATGTTGATCCAAATTGTGTGGTAACTGAATTTATGAAACTGCAGATCTCATATTTGAGTACAACTGGCGGTTCAAATACTGACAGGAATACTAGGCAGGTATTGTTAAAATTAATTGGTGGCAGTTTGAGATGTCAAATTAATTATACCGGGAAAGGTAACAAAGTCGCACTGGAAAATCTGGAGATTTTGAAAATTTTAAAGGGTGAGAGCATGGTGTGAAGTAAATAAGTGTTGCAGCTGGTTTTCATAATTATTATTATGTCATTTAGATTCTGTCCGTACTCGGTATCCTGTGGCCAATGACGACGAGATATTAGGGACAGCAAAGAATTGGTTCAAGTACGCCCCTAAAGATAGAGAAGACCAATAGGACAGGTCGGTCGCCCAGGAAATTAAGATGTATTATTGCAAAACGAGTCCAACAGAACATTGAAAACACTCAGCGACAAATTACTCCTACTCCAGAAAATAATAATAATCATTTAAATGATATTAATGCGGTAGATACTGATAGATTAGTAAATAATTTTATTCACTCAGAGTCAGAGGAGCGAAGTCAGATTTTGTTTAGTTTAAGTGACACGGGTAGTGATGGTCCTTTTCATGATATTGTTGTTAGTGAATTTAAAGTTAGTTTAAGGGAATGGGCAATTAATTACAATATTACAGGTATTGCTACACAGGAACTTTTGAAATTGTTGAGACGCCATAATTGTTTCGAATCTCTTCCTATAGACCAAAGAACTTTATTACGCGGCGACATTCCAGTAGTTAAAACGATAACTAGAAATGACGATGGGTCATACTTTAGTTATTTTGGTATAACTAGTTCATTGCAGGCTCAATTCAACGAGGATTTTATTGAGCCCTTACTAACAAGTATTAGGGTAGCAGTTAGTGTCGATGGTCTTCCAATTTCTAGAAGTAACAATTTTGGCCGATCCAAGTTTCATGCATTGAAAGTAAATTTGGAGTTTTTGTAGCTGGGTTATATTATGGGGAAACGAAACCAAAATTAGTCGATAATTTTTTGAAGGATTTAGTAGATGAAATCCAAGTTTTGCAAACGGTTGGTCTAATTCTTAATCATAGTATAATCAAAGTTAAATTTGATAGGATAATTGCTGATGCGCCTGCGCGTAGTTTCATTAAGCAATGCAAAAATCACAACTCTTATAATGGGTGTGAAAAATGTAAAGTTGTAGGAAAATGGACAGGTAGAGTTATATTTCCTGATTTATCTGCTCCTGTTAGAACAGACGACGAATTTTTACAGCAATTAGATATAAATCATCACTCTGGTAATTCACCATTTGCACGTATAGATTTTCCATTAGTTAGTTGTGTTCCTATTGATTACATGCATTGTATTTGTTTAGGAGTAGTTAGAAAATTGTTACGTTGTTGGATAAAAGGTCGAATCCCATATAAATTACCGCCCAGTAGCGTTTTAAAATTAAACGAATCATTATTTAATTTACGAACAAGCTGTCCTAATAATTTTAGTAGAAAGCCGAGAACGGCTAAAGATGTAGATATGTGGAAGGCGACAGAGTTTAGGTCATTTTTACTTTACACAGGTCCTGCAGTTCTTAAAAGTGTTTTGCCTAAGAGTAAATATCATCATTTTTTATTATTGAGTATAGCGACTTCAATTTTGATAAGCGAGAAAGCGCAAAATGTTGAATGGAATGAGTACGCTAACAAATTGTTTAGATTGTTCGTTTCAAAAATTAGCGACTTGTATTCAGAAAATTTTCTAGTATATAATGTGCACTGTTTAATTCACATTGCTGCTGATGCCATGAATTATGGGAGACTGGATAACTTTAGTGCATATGACTTTGAGAATAATATACAATTTATTAAAAGAATATTAAGATCTCCTTATAAACCGTTCGAACAATGTATAAGTAGATTAAAAGAAAAGGAACATTTAAAATTGTCAGCCAAGCCTATATCTCCATCATGTCAGAGTAAATTTTCTAAAGGTAATAATTGTTATAAAATAGACTGGTGAAATTGTAATTATTATTAGTTATGTACCTGGCTCCGATACATTACTAGTTAAAAAATTTACAAAAGTTGATGACTGGTATGTTGTTCCATGTAAAAGTACGATTGTTGATGTAAATTTAGTTTCAAAGTTATCTAGCGCTGTACATATTAATTTAAGTTCATTAAGGCAAAAATGTTGGTTAATGGAGTTGGAAGGTGGCATTATTTGTATTCCTTTACATAACACTAATAATTGATTCTTTTGTAATGAATGATCGATTTTTGTATAATAAAGAACCACGTTGCCAATATTATCGTTGTATATTCATTATTAAATCGACGGATAAACGACGGTGAATTATGACCATAATGCGACCATACTTTCAACGGTATTTCGACCGTCGATTTTATGTTGATTCCGACGATCAAATCCACGTTGAATCAACGGTCGCATTTTAGGAGAATATGGATGGTTGTTTAGACTAGGTTCTGTCGGCCATATGTGACCAATTTCCGACTGCGTCGTTTCGACGTCACTTTCAACCAATTTTGCGGATGGGGATTCAGCAACAAAGTATTATTATCACGAACTCGGTGTCTTACGATTTAACGAGGGAATTCACGCAGTCGTTTGTAACTTTGCAAAATCCGTAAAATAATTTTTAAAACTTTCACAAAATAAAAAAGACACCTTTGATCTGAGCAACTTTACAAAAATTTGTGAATTATTTTCCTTCGAAATATTTGAAAAATTTTGTAGAACTTTGTAAGTTTACAGAACTTTGTAAGGTTACCACAGCCTGCGTGAATGGCCCCAATGTTTACCTCAATTTTGTACATTTGTTGTTCTTACCAAATCAAATTTACAATTAGAGCTAAGCCAAAAGAATCTCTGTGTTGTGAAAAAATAAAAAAATACCTGGTAATAAAATATGAATGTAATACCCAGGCGGCATGCATGATTGACAAGACTTGACCTTTCAGATACCTGTAATTACGTACATAAATTTATGAAATTTCGGAACAGAATTTCCGAAAAGTTTGGGTGGGTGAAAGTGATATTATAATTTACACGTGTGCTCGGCGGACTTTCTCCTTGAGAATAAATCATATTTGTACCCTGTTCATGTCTGTGGAGAGAAAATGTAATAAAATAAATAATCCAGAAGGAGAAAGCTGTGTGTGAACTTTATTTCTTGACCACATATTTCACCCGGGTTTTGGGCGAATTCACGCCAATTTCGGGGGGAAGAGAATTGCACAGATTTTGGCAAAAAATGTAGAGGAAAAGCTCATGTAATATTTTTTGTAGCGAAATTTAGTTAGAAAATATACAGTTTGTGAAACGAAATAAGTAATTTTGCCAAATAAAAATAGTTACCATTTTCATGTAAAATTTCGCAAAATGTAAAATTTGCATATCTTGTATGCATAACTTTAGAGTCTTGTTTACACCAATCTTAAGTAGGAAAATTAGACGCATTTTGTAAAAATCATAGTGGGACAGCTGAACTCGAGAATGTATTAACTTTTTGTATCATAATTTATGTTTTTAGCAAATAGTTTGCGAAATAATATTGCCAAATACAAATAATCAGCCTTTTAGGTTGAATTCATAATTTGCGAATCTTGTCCTGACAGTTTTGTGTATTTCCTGAAACCGAATCTTTTTTTAATTCCGGGGTCAAATAATCAGCCTTTAAGGAGGTTGAATTCATAATTTGCATTTCAATTAGCAAATAGTTTGCGAAATAATATTGCCGAATAGAAATAATCAGCCTTTTAGGTTGAATTCATAATTTGCGAATCTTGTCCTGACAGTTTTGTGTATTTCATGAAACCGAATCTTTTTTTAATTCCGGGGTCAAATAATCAGCCTTTAAGGAGGTTGAATTCATAATTTGCATTTCAAATTCCTAATTTCCTGAAACTAATTTTTTTTAATTGCCGCGTTTTCGAAATTTGTTACTAAAATTCGATTTATTTTATGCGTAGATTAAACGTCATAATTATTAATTCGCATGATGCTAATAGTTAAATGAAAGTACTATTTAGGTAATTTGTATCACTTTAGTAAGAGCAGATAAATTGCGAAACAGTAACGCCAATTTAATTAAAATTTGAAGTCTGTTTACATACAAATAATTTCGTGGAAATATATTTTTTCACATCAAATTTCTTTGTCAATGTCGCAAATTTCAAAAAACTATGCTCATTTATCGGGATGCCAAAATTACCGAATTTTCCAAAAATTAGAAATACAAATAATTCAAAAATAAATGGATGTAAAAATCTTACCAGATTGTACCCCATTTTCGAGATTTAGCAACTATACAAAAATTATCGTGAATACTTCCACCGAATTTTTCAAAAATTGGAAACAAATACAAAAAAGGTTAAAAATTGTTTCTTTTTCCTACAGAAATCACTGCTTCTCTCAACTCCGTAAAAAATTTATATAAAAAAACTTGTCAAACTGTACCCAACTTTCAAGATTTACGACCTATATCAAAATTGTGAATATTTCCACCAAATTTTGGAAACACAAACACCTCAAAAATGTTGAAAATCGTGTTTCTTTTTATAAAATCTCTGCTTCTCTCAACTCTGTAACAAATTGATGTGAGTGAACCCAACCCATAATTTTTTTATTACCGGGGCAAACACAGAAAAGGGAAAGTTACTGAGAAACGAGACCACTAAAACATCCATAGGTCAACTAACAGCCAGCACTTGTGTGAAAGTGAAGTGAAAGTCATTCCAATAATGGCCTTTATGGCGCAGAGTAGAAAAAGGCATAAATTTTAATACTGGATAAAGTTAACTTTTAGATATCACCGAGAAGGAGAAAAGGAAGGAGAAAGTAAACTTGGGGTAATGTGAGACCCACGAAGCTTACATATACGGAGTAGTAAAATATTTGCGAAATAAGTTGTCTGATTTTACCAGAGAAGAAAGAAAGTAGTACTAATGTGGTCAAAGTAAGGGTAGGATTTTGTTTCTTGGAGAAAGTTAAGTTTCTAGGGTTTGATTTCGTGCATGCACTTTTCACATTTCTTGCATTGTGATGCAAGAAATTGTTAGAAATGCAAGGTTCAAGAAATGCTAGAAATAGGCGCTACCTAGCGGGCCACCCCTTTATATTGCGGTTAGTTATAAGAATTTGCACCAAGATGCGCTTATTTCTTGCATTTTTTGCACTAATGATAGCAATAAGACTAAAAACAATTTCTTGTAGTAATTTCTTGTAGGAAGTTATTTAATGGCTAATTATAAGGATTCTCCTCTAGATGGCGCTTATATCTGGTAGAAATTATGCTTAAAAGATAATTTCTTACAGTAATTTCTTACATGTCGTTCTTTTTTTTACGGAAAATGCTGTTTTTATTTTTTTCGGTTACAAAAACCATTTACAAGAAGCTTGTTTTGGGGGCATAATACATACAAGAAATAAGCGCCATATAGCGGGGCTTCCCAATAATTACAGGCCTATAAAGGGGTCACCCGCTAGGTGGCGCCTATTTCTTGCATTTCTTGCAGTGCAGTGCAATAAATTCTGAAAAAGGGACAAGAAACAAAACACTTTAAGGATCTTAGGAACATGGACCCGTTTACTTTATACTTTGTAGTCAAGCAATCCATGGAAACCGCAGGATTGAAGAATGAAACGGCAAACGGGAAGATAAATGATGCCCATTTTACCGAGAAATGGAGAAAGTAAAACAAAAGTATAAAATCGGAGAGAACAAATCGAATCGAGATCATTACGAGGAGAAAGTTTGGATGGATGAAATAAATGGTAAGTGAAGGAATGGATGGATCACGTGGGTGAGGATTTGGTGCGTAACTCCAAATTTTTTTATATGTCATTTGGAGTTAATAACATCACGAATCTTCATTTAAGAATTAATTTCAATTGATTTCAACCATTTCACAAATGGCGGCAAGTTAGAACTAAATTTTTATTGCAATGTATCGATTTTTTCCTAATATTGAAAATCCTAAATATGCGAAAAATTGGAACCAGTTCTATAAAAATCTGCCAAAGTTGGAAAAATTAGAAATCAGAATTACGACCTATTATCTTTAAACCAATCTTAAAATCTTTAATTAAAAAAAACGCAATGCGATAAAAAATTTCAAAATCGTCATTTGAATACATAGAAGAAGGGAAAGTTGAGACAAAAATTCAAATTCAAACTGTATGCAATGAAACGCTATAAATGCTCAATGGTATTTATGTTAAACACATTCTCCTCTTATAAATATCTAAATATGTAAACTCGTACAAAATTTTTCAAAAAATAATAATCGGCGTTCAACTCGATATTTTATATAGAGATAGTTCCAGATTTAATCCTACAATGTCTACCAAATTAAATTCATAATTCCAAACTTTTTGCCGAGTTGTTTCAAATTATTTCAGACTACACTTTTCCTTTGAGACTTAATACGTTCTTGAAAACTGTTTGGTTTCTTCCGGGTTTGCTACATTTCCTGTATTGTAAAGCAAGAAATCGAGTGTGGCAGATTTTTTAATTTTGAAAACTTGTAAGTATAGTCTATCCACGGCAAGTTGAACCCGGAGATATGGAAGACTAAATCCCGGCCCATGCTTATTAACGTTGAACTGAGTTTAGTCTCCCATACCTCCGGGTTCAACTTGCCGTGGAAAGAGAGTACATCACACTTTGTTACTTATTTTCAATCTCATTTTCATTGAATTTGTGAAATTAAAACACACATTTTATAGGTTCTGTGAAAAAATATATCACTTTTGCAGGAAAAGTTTTACAAAATTTAGGGTTTTCAAATTCAAATTTAAATAAATGAAAGTGTTTGACTCCATTGAAAAGATTGACTAGTGTTTTTTACGCTTTAAAAAATTTCAGATCATCTATCCTTTTTGTTGCATTCTATGCACTTGATTTTTTAACTATAATCATTATGGCACTTTTACCAAGTTTTTGGCATTATTAATTCCAAATCAGGCGTTGAGATCGCTTAAAATGTGTGAAACAATATTGCCACAATTCACGAAATCATTGGTAATTTTATAAAATCTGTAAGTTTTATGGGTTTTATGGAATAATTCAACAAACTTTTAGAAAATAAAAAGACTTGATCTGAGCAAGTTTACATAAATTTGTTAGCGCAATTTTCCTGTGAAATATTTGTAAAAATTTGTAAGAGTTTGTAAATTTACGAACTTTACAAAATTACCAAGGACAATGTAAATTGTCTCGATGTTAATCATAATCAATATTTATTATTAAATGTTCTTGTATGTAACACGTACAAGAACGTATGCTACAAAAATTAGGGGCTGAAACTCTATACAAAAAGGGGAACTTTATGACGATATTTTATTTTATATCATTTCAAGCAAAAATATAATCCTGACATGATGCTCAACAGAAATGTAACATATTATATTCACAGGGTTTCAAATTTAGCAATACTGAATTCAAAGTTATTTCATAATAGGTTTTTTTGAAAATTAAATTTAGCAATGAAATTACTCGATGCCGTTTAAAATATTTTGTCGTGTTGAGATAATTAAAGTCTATAAAGATTTCTAGATCCATACAAATTGTATGTCGGTTTGTATGTCGCTTTTCAGTCGTTTTTTCCAATTTCGCAAGCATTTTTGAAACTCATTTATTTTCGAAATTTTCCGATGTTACGGTATTATGCTTATATCTGAAAATCTTTTTCATAGCCGGAAAGGAATAGAATTTCTAGCATAACAGAAAGCCGAGCTATTTAGAAACAAGGAAAACATGGGATTTAATTAATTTGAAGTATAATTTACTAATTTTTTTGTAACTCGAATGTTTTTTTTTAAATTTGTCATTAAAAATATGACAACCTACTCACATTTTTCCAAATAAAAAAACACTTTATACGAATTTATTGAATAATCGGTTATTGGTATTTTACTTAAATTCAATTTTGTAATGAAATAATTCGATGCCGTTTAAAATATTTTGTCAGATAGTGAAATATTTATAATCTATTCAGATGTTTAGCCCTTATGGTATTTTAGCAGTCGATTTTCTTCCAGGATTTTTTGCGACCCATGTATTTGCAAAATTCTGTAAAATTTAATAACTTTATAGAATTTACAGACTTTAAAATGTTACCAAGGTATACGTGAATTATTCTTAGTGAGGCAAATACCTGACAACGAAAAAAATTTGCTAAGTATGCATTTACCCCACCCAAAAAAAGTGACATAAGTCGATTTCTCCGCCATTTCTCAACCGATTTTGATGAAATTTTGCACAGATCATTGTTAGGTAATTTAGAAAAGATGTGCTAGTCGACTTGGCGAGTTTTTAATTTTTACCCAAGTTATGTGCCAAAATGTGCAAAAATTTTCCCCTGAAAACATATTTATTTTTATGATTCATAAGTGGTGTATCTCAGTATGCTCGCTTATTGAAAATATTTTACGCAAAGTCATTCCGGACATTTTAAGCGCAAAATGACCTAAATCGGTTGAGAAATAACGGCGTTATTCCAGTTTGAAAATCAAAAATTTTATGAAAATATTCAGGGTGCGGATAATAATGGCGGTTGTGCAGTAAAAATAATGTCTTTGACAACCAATTACAAGTTTTAAATAAACAAGGCCCCAAAAATGGGAAATCTTAGTGAGTCAGCGCAATCACAGTTAATAAATAAAATTAGATTGAATAACTTTTGCATCACCACTCTCGGGATAACTTTTACTGGGTCCATTGTAAATTTAGTTTTGCATACGCATGCACTCTTGCATTAATTGAGATTATAAGATGACGTTTTTACTATTGAACGAGAAGTTGGCTAAATTAATCGATATGAAATATAATTGTGAACTGCGAATTTTAAATTTACAAAGAGTTGAAAGTGTACAATTATAAATAAATATAAATATATAAATATGGATATCCTATTAATGCCTATTCTGATGAAATCTCCAGACCCTTTGCAGGGGGGGGGGGGCAATTATTCTAAATGATTAATTAATGCTTCCAGGAAAAATGACACCGAGAGCGGTGATGAAAAAGTTATTCAATCTAATTTTATTTATTAACTGTGATTGCGCTGACTCACTAAGATTTCCCATTTTTGGGGCCTTGTTTATTACCACTGACATTCCCCATGGTAAACATGTAAGTTAATAAAAGGAAAACTGGAACGATTTGATAATCGTGATGCACAATCTGGAATAATTTTCATCGTATGATGCACTTGTCAATTGTGATTTTTCTTGTTATGTAAAAAAATTTACATAACAAAATAAACACGGTTAAAATATTTGATCCGGTGCTTGGATTACGATAAACTTTTTTGCGCACGAGCATGCTCCGATCCTTATCGGTGTTTGGAGAGCCTTGATTTATACATGTAGCGGAAGAAACTGAAGTTGTTTAATGTGAAGGATGATCTGTCTGTCCGTCTGTCACTAATCAATTATCAACGGATCAACTTTTTCGACTTGGGTTTTTAGATAATCTAATTGTAAAGAAGGAGTTGTCTAATTGATCTTTATCAAAAGGTGACAGCGATCAAGTCAAAGAGAAGCGTTTTTGTTTTGATGGACGTACATCGACCACGTCAAAAAATGGTAAAATTGAAAAAAAGTAAAAATGTTAAAGATATCAAAATTAGCAAAACGTTGGTAAGGACTAAATTAGTAATAGTAAAACGTGATGAAGAATGGGAAATCTGACAAACAGTCATTAATGGCTAAAATATCCATAAATTCAAATATGGATATCTAAATGTTACAAAATTTTAAAATTTTAAAAATTTTAAGAATTTAAAAATTTAAAATTTAATACGTAAATGTAAAAATTTAAAAATAAATAAATTTAAACTTTTAGAATTGTAAAAATTTTAAAAACACGCAACAATATAATATGTAGACCCGTCCAAAATTACATTTTCAGGCATTTAAGAAAATAAAATATTTCAATAACATTATCGAATGCTTTCGTCACTTAATTAAACCTGTTGCTGGAGTTTATTTAACCACTTCAACCCTAGGAGACGAGTTTTTTCATACCTTTCACCCCTAGTAACCGCGAATTTTTACCTCCCTTGACCCCGAAATTTTTATCTCCTTTTTTAATTCCTGGGCCATGAATTAAAAAATGGTGTTCCCACCGGAATTATTCTGGACACTTTTTTGTGAAAATTGGTATGAATAACCTTTCAAGAAGGTATTTTGAGTTGTAGTTTGCATTTTTGAGTTGTGGCGAACCACCAATGTTTATAGCCGAAAATAGCCAACACGCCGAATTTTAAAAATGATTGTAATTGCATGAAAAGTTAAACAAGCATAGAGTAATACTTGCATAATAGTACGTAAACTCGCAAATATTGATTATAGCGCATAAAGCGCCTTAGGAGCCGATTTTGGGCGGGAAAACCAAAAATCCTTACAATGACTTTAAATAGACAGCAATGACAATGAATAATTATCCCGTGAGAGGAAATTGCTCGAACATAGACTATGGCGCATCTGGTGAATAGAAATCAATTTTAAGCGGGAAAATTAAATTCTACTAATTCCTGGCAATCTCTCAATTTTTAATTTTCCCGCCCAAAAGATATTTCAGCGGCACCCGGTACGTAATCATTAATTTTGACGTAGTTTACCCTACCGGCAAGATTATTTGTGGTATATAATTAAATCCATGCAATGATGCAATTCATCAAACTTTTAGTTTTCTCGCCCAAAACGCCCATTTGTGCTACATGCGAGCAAAACAATTTCTCTAATCTTATCGTAAAGCGTTGTTGAAATAAATCGGTGTCGAAATTTCCTTGCAAAAAACAGTTTTCACAACTCGGCGTCTTGGCTAGATATAGCCACTTGGCTATAAATTTATTTTGCATCCATTTCTAATATTATTTCCTAAGAGACAATTTATTATCCCGCCTAAAGGGCGGGTTGTTGACTCATAACTCTTGCTTTGCTTTGCTTGGAGAGGCAATAACCTAATTTTTTTCCGGATACGACCCATAGTCGTAGGCCGGTGTGAACGGAAAATACGCCACATAGTCGTATCCGTTGTCAAGGGTCAATACGACACATCGTCGTATTCCGGTGCCAAGGGAACTTACGCCACATGGTCGTATTCGGTGTAAAGGTCAAATACGCCACATAGTCGTTATAGGGGCGAAGTGGTTAAAATCCTACATTCCTAAATTTCACACACCCACACCTGTGACCCGATCTCAATAAATGTGCATTATATAAATATGTAAATTGTAATCAATCATTATTTGTATTTACATAACTCTACAAAATTATTATTCAACACTAAAATTTTTACACTAATCAAGTCAGATAAACGAATAAAACAAAAGCACGCATATTATCCAAACATGCAATTATGTAATTCTTATCATTAAAATCATCCCTATAAATGAGATGAGCACGAGTGGCATGATTTTAATTCAGCTTGCCAAGCCAAACAAGGATAAACTAATTTTCAGATATTCCATTTAGTAAAATTGTCATTATGAAATTGCTGCTGCTTTTGTGCCTCGCTGTGACCTTTGTTTATGGGTAAGTTGTCTTTAACGTGGCAAGTTTTTACCGAAATGTTCATTAAGGCCCTGACACAGGCGGGTTTTGAGTTCGATTTTTTTTATCTCAGCTTTCCCATCTTACATGTATTCAAATAACGATTTTGAAAGCTATTCATCTCCGTGCGTTTTTTATTAGATTTTATTACATCTAAAAATTGATAATTTTTTGGTTTACAAAGTTAGGAGGTTAGAATTTTGATATTTTTTTCTTCCATGAGAATATATTTAATTTTACTTATTATTTTTTAGCTATTTTATTTCTATTTTGGCATGGAATAAAAAATCAATCTCCTAATTTTCTAAACTTAAACCTCATCGACTTTTAAATTTAATAAAATCTTCATTTTGTAAAAAACTTATGGAGATGAACAGATTTCAAAATCGACATTGGAATACATGAAAAAGGGAAAGTTGACACAATTTCAAACTCAAAACCCGCATGCAATGGATCGTTAAGGTTACATAGGATGACGATTTGGTGTATCATAGATTTTAAATCTCACTTTACCCCAATTCAATCTCTTTAAATGTAAATTTCTAAAATGGCATCTAATTTAATTCGTTTTGGGATAAATCAGCTATCAGCTACTTTAGTGTGGAGATAATTTTTGGTGAAAGAATTTATGAATCTGAAAAATTACATTGAAATTCAAAATTTGATATTAAACTTGTACCGGAGTCCAAGTTTGGTGAGGGGATTTATTTTTATCCAAAATTCGTTAACAAAATTTGTGCGATGGTGGGAATATTTAAAATTCGACATGAGACTCGAAATTGATTCCAGTTTGATATGTATTTTTTTTTAATTTCGGTCGGAAACCTGAAACGTCTAATATAATTTTGTAGTTTCAAATTTTCTAAAAAAAACTTGTACTGGAGTTGAAGTTCAGCGAAGGGATTTAGTTTTATCCAAAATTGCCCAACCAAATTTACAGCAACAAAACAAGCTTTTTTTTATTGAAAACGGAATAATTGTGCCATTTGTTAACAATGTTAATTCGCGACCGAGGAACGTTTTAAGAATTTTGAAAATCTTCAAGACACGATATGAATAATATTAGGCGCCGCGTCACCGAAAAATCACCAAAATTGGCGCCCCCCCAAGGTCAGTGTTGACCTCTGATACATATAGCCCCAGGGGAAAGATGTCATTTTAGAAATTTACATTTAAAAAGAAAGGTGGGGTTTAACGTACGGGTATTAGCTCATGGCTCTTGCATACAGGCAGGATAGGTAGGACAGGTAGATTTTAACTAGTTAGGTTGGGATAGGTTCCATTTGGACAGCTACAATTGCATAATACTACTTATCATATCAGTAGCGTTAATGCAAATCACTGGGTTGGAGAAAACACGTATCACTCATCAGCATGTACCGTACCGGAGTCTTTAGCCCAGATAGGAGTCAGCTTCTGCCTTTTTCAGGCACTGACTAACCCCAAGTAGACAACTATCCAGTACGCTGATGTTGATTTACCAAAAACTCCAACCACCACCCAATTTCGAACCGGGGACCTCTGCGGAAAGAGATGGACGCTCTAACCACTCAGCTATGGCCCCGGCCCGAAATGTACATTTAAAGACATTGAAAAGGGGTAGAGTGAGATTAAAAATCTACGACGGTGTAAATCTACGATTTACACCTTAAGTATGTTATAATTAAGTCATTGTGTCTCTTTTATAGTCAACAAGATCCCGGTGCAATCTGGATCCCAAGTAATTTATTATTTGTTTTTAAATTATAATTAATATTTTGATCGTAATATTTATTGAAATTTAAATTAAGCTCTACACGAATAAATATATTTATAGGTCCTCACTACAACTCGAGAAATGGCTATAGTGTCAAATGGTTAATTGTCCACGGTATTAAATACAATACTTTAAAGTACAACAGGACTAAGGAAAAAATACTTTTTTAAAATTATTCTTAAGGAACTGCTGGAGGCTCGAGCGCCGTAGCGATTGGTAAATACTGGAGACTAATTTCTTAATTAATCATTACGTTACAAGCTATATATGTAACCATGGTTTGGTTACCAATGCATCGGTAAAACAAAAATTTACCAGGTAGTGTGAAAAAATGTTTCCCGTTTTTTTTCATGGTCCTTAAAATAAATGAGAAACGGTTAAAATTCATTTTTTAACACTTTTTATGACCTACCACCAATATTTAGTGGGGAGAATTGGGAAAAAGTGTGTTTCCGTACAAATTTTCCCATTTTTGACAGTGAAACACACTTGTTATCAGTTTTGACTGTAAATCACACTTTTTTCTCCACATCCTGAGTAAATCATGTTTTAAATGAGAAAAAAACTTGTAATATAGCGACCAAAAAGGTTAGTTATACGACTTGAGCAACTTGTACAATACAACGACAATACGACTAATTACATACAACGCAATACGACTTGTACAATTTATTTGCAGGGGAATGGTTTCAAAATCCGGCATCGCAAGCCTCCACGCACTACGTGGTTGGGCAGGATGGAACTGTAGTTCAGTGCGTAAACGAGGGTTGGGCCGCGTGGGGAAATGGTGTTGTTGAAGGAGGATCCGATTCTTGTATGTAAAATCAATTTATTTTTCAATTTGTATATTAAAATAGCTTCTAATTGGGTAAATTAGACTCGTGTAATATGTTGGTAACAAAATGCAGGCACAAATTTTAAGAATCCAAAATCATAGAAAACTTAAAATATCATTGTATACAAAGTTTTTGATTTTTTGCACCCTTTCTGCATTTCTTGAACTGCAAGAAATTGTAGAACATGCAAAATTAAATTGCCAGGAATATGCGCCACCAAGCAAGTCGCTCTTTGTATTAGATCTACTTATACGGATTATTCGCTTGATGGCGCTTATTTCTTGAATTTTTCACACGGACAAAATTATGCCTGCAAATAATCTTTAACGCAATCTTTTCTAAACTTACAAACTCTTATAAAATTTTACAAATATTTCCAGGGAAAACTAGGTTACAAATTTTTGTAAACTTGCTCAGATCAAAAGGGCGTCTTTTTATTTTGTAAAATTTGGTAAAATCATTTTACAAAATTTTACGTATTTTAAAAAGTTATACTTCACTTCATCAACTGCCTCAATTTTGTGCTCATGTTTTTTGATCATTGCAAGCAAAGCCGCCTCTAATATTAATGAAACCCATATTTCACACTTTGTAGGGTGGGGTGTAAATCCAAATTGGGTCTCAATCTCGATCGAACATGTCAAATCGAACACGGACAATTCGAACGAACTGACCGGACCACAGGCCGCGGCTTCGTTCAATCTGATCAGAAATATTATCGCAAGAAATCCCGGGATTCGGATGGCTTATGCAAATGGTGATGGTGGAATTACGGGTCATTTCTCGATGAGCCCGCAATCAAGGGCTCGATGCCCGGGACCTTTTCCTTGGGAACAAATGTTCAATGACCTCAACGGTTCGGGCCAACCGACCTGCATGGGATCGGCTACGACAGCGTTGAACATAAGGTACGAGCTTGAAATTATATTGCCTATCTACCTGGCTACGTATTCCCGGGTTTTACTGTGTTATTTGGGTTTTACCCGAATTTGTGTATTACTTGGGTTCTTGCTAAAAGATTAATGAAATTCAATTGAAATTCATTCATTTATTTTAAATTAATTCATTCATTTGAAATTCATTCATTCATTTGAAATGTATTCATTTGAAATTCATTCATTCATTTGAAATGTATTCATTTGAAATTCATTCATTCATTTGAAATTCATTCATTCATTTGAAATGTATTCATTTGAAATTCATTCATTTATTTGAAATGTATTCATTTGAAATTCATTCATTCATTTGAAATTCATTCATTCATTCATTCATTTGAAATTCATTCATTCATTTATTTATTCATCATCCATTCGTAGGCACAAGTTTAACCAGGATTAAATTTTGTATAAAGTATATATTCCCTAAATTTGTATTGTTTTTTTTCAAAAATTAGTTTAACAATGATTTCTTATTTTGTAAAGTAAATGATTTTTTATATTAAATAGGGCCGAGCCAAATACGAACAGTGCCATTGTTGGAGGCGTCCCGATGCACAATGTGGTCAACGTGAGGGCGAAAGTTCTAGGAGAAGATATCCTTGGAAACCCGTACTGGATGCAGCTTCACGATGGATCAGGATTCATTGCTGCGTACTATTTCAACGTGCACATTACCCAGCCGGGATGGTGCTATTAAAAAATTCACATTTTCAAAAAATGACATGGCAATCAAAATTTATTAAAATTCGAATTATTGAGGATCCTGGTTTCTTATAAACCATTTGTATGAAATAATCCACGCAGTGCTTGATCACTTTGTAAAATCCGTAAATCCTGTAAACCTACACACTTTTACCAAATTTTTCAAATATTTCTGAGGAAAATTAGCATACAATTTTTTGTAAACTTACTCCGATCACGGGCTTTTCTTTACTTTGTAAAAGTTTGTCAAATTATTTTACAAAATGCATGGATTTTACAAGTTACAAATAACTGCGTCCTCAAATGAATGTCCTCAAATCTATACAATTTAATCTGGCTAATAAACTATAATTGAAATTGAAATTGTTTACTCAAATCATTAAATGCATATTGTGAATCACAATTTGTGACCGAATGGGAAAATAATAGACAAGGCACACATTTCGGTTACACATTTCGGTTTTAAAAATACATATTACCGTCGTGATTTTTTGCTTAAGAATTACCACAAAAATTTGCCTGATTTCAAATTTCAAAGTTTCTAAGATGACAATCACTTCGAAGAATTCGCAATTTCAAAAAAGTCATGTTGTGATACGAACATGCAATGAAATTTTCAAGAGAACCGAGAAGTCATCTATCTTAAACTTACGAGTCATAACTTTTTAAAAATAATCTTTCTAAATGGCGTCGGATAAATTCATTTTCTTAATTTAATTTTTTTAATTCCAAAAATGAGCCTGATTATTTATGTATTTGAAATTAATTTTTGTTACTTGTACAGGAAGAAATAATCATTAAAAATCAATTTCATATACATATAAATGAATGCTCGAATTTTTCGGATTTTACATCTTTTTGAATCTTCTAAAGCCGTTTAAACTTTTGAATAATATTTTAATACATCTGAACATTAAAGATTTAGATTGATTTCACGAAGTGTAGATAAGATTGAAATCTTCAACTTTACTAAAATCGTACTAATACCGGGGAAATAAAATGATTTTAGTAAAGTCTACTTGATCAGACTTGATGCATACTTATTTATGGGAATTTCTGCACTTTGTAATTATTTAAAAAATATTTGTTGGGGTTTGTGCAATTTTGCAAATGTGCGAAATAATTAAATAGTTCATCATAACGACTAAAGAATTATTTCAAGAAGTGAAGTAAGAAATGAAGTCTGATGAAGTGAAATGTAATGAATTTGATCGAAAATGACCGAATGTCATTAATGTCATCATCATTGAAAATCTTCAGTCAGAAATTGGGATGACTGAATTTTGAATGAAAACTAAATTTTTTGAACAGGTATGAATCTGTGCTCTTGTTAATACTGTGCTGACGGACAGACAGACGAAAGGTAATTTCTGAGAGATTCAAAATTATTGCCTCGTTTTAATTAATTTCTTCTCGGATTATTTCTAACTAGAAGTAACTTGAGTTTCCCATAAATTTTTATTACCAATCGGTGGTACATCTTTATCAGCGTACATGGTAATGAATACAGGCCATGATAATTTTTTTACCATATTATTTGAGTGTACAAGTAAAAATTGGAGATAATCCTTTATCTTTTGTGCATCATTTTTTTCTGTCTCAATCCGAACACGGATCCCATTTCCGGTTGAGATGTGCCTTCTGGAGAAAGTAAAGTTGAAAAGAAAATCCCGATTTTGATGAGATGATTCCATCAACTCGCTTAAATTGAATCTGTATCAGTTACAAATCAAAAAAGAAAGTTTTTTGTGTGCGTGCCTTCTTTTTGAGTAAATTTCTCTACGCTCAAGTGCTCCTGGAGAGTGAGGAGCACTGTAAATAATTCGGTAACAAAAATTATTACCGGCAAAGTGTGTTGGTTAAGATTGTTAACTATTGACGACCAATTTTGAAATTTTGAAATATATAATTATTATCAACTCGAGTGATAGATTTATGTCGGGTATTGAAGTAGATTTTACTGAAAACTTTTTTACCGTGTGGTAAGAATTCTAAATTTACCCCATTGGTATTTGCGGTGCAGCGAAGTCAACTAGATGCAGTAGATTTGAATTTCAGCCCGCCCCCAATGTTAATCAAGTGGGCACGTGATTTTGGCACGTAGAAATTCTGTCCGGTTTACTTAGCAACATCGCAATAATGATCTACCGGCCAAGCAAATTATAATTTCAGCAAAATTTAGATTTCCTACGGCAGAAAAAAATGAATCTCCAGGAAACTAAGGAATATCACGCAATTACGAACGTCCAATTTTACCAAATTGGTAAAATCACTTGAATCAAATTGGTGATGATTCACTTCTTAAATTAAATATGAACTAATAAAGATCTGGTATATATACTGGTATTGATTTGGTAATAACTTCTTACCGGATTGGTAATAGTTTATTTCATATTTCAGAGTGGTAAATTTTTCATTCCCGCATTACCAAACCGCAACACTCGTTATTACCATGGAGATAGAGCCATTTACCAAACCGGTAAACTCCGGTAAAACTAATTCTCCTCCCACATTATTTAGCGTGCTGTCCTTCCCCGATTTTGCATACCTTGACAGATACAGACTTCTCTCAAAGAAGAAGAAGATGGGATCATGTATGTTCTAGTTTCTAGTTCATTTCGTTTTGTGGGGACGTACGTGGCCCGAATTTTAATTTGCATATCGGCCGAAACTTGGTACGTATTTTTGTAAAGAAAAAAAAAGAAAAGTAGAAGATTGTCCAATTTTGCATATGCCTCGAATTCTGAACGAATTCCATTTATTTTGTGCCCAGAGAAAGTAGAGGAGAAGATTAGGACGAGGTTGGAGAAGGGGAGAATATAATGGAGACACGAGACAGGGAAGGATGGCACATTTTAATACGAAAAGAAGAGAAAGTAACAACTTTCTCTTTTCCTCAGGTTTGGTCAAAAGGTTGTCGTTTTGAGAGAGTTTTTTTTCTGCTGGCTCTGGGAGAAAGCTTGAGGAGAGGAGAAAGATTTGTAGGAATTTTGGGCAGATTGCTAGCCTAGATTTTTGAGGGTTTATGACATTTTTTGGTGATTTTTTAGAAATTTAGAAATTTTTGAATGAGTTTTTTGGTAGGATTTTAGAATATTTAGAATTTTTAGCTAGAGAGACGGAAGGATGGCACATTTTAATACGAAAGGAGGAGAAAAGTAACAACTTTCTCTTGTCACGTTTGGACGAAAGGTTGGCTTTTTGAGAGAGTTTTTTTTATTCTTTCTCTGAGAGAAAGCTTGGGATGAGAGGAGAAAGATTTGCAGGAATTTTTGGCAGAATGTTGTCCCAGATTTTCTTGGATTTTCGGCATATTTTGTGGAGTTTTTTATGAATTTTTGTAGGTTTTTGTTGAATTTTTTTTTCGATGTCGTTATGAAAGAGTAGTTTTTCTTGATATGGGAGAGACCTGGAAAGCTTGAGACTTGAGAGGAGAAATATTTGTAAACATTTTGTGCAGAATGTTATCCCAGATTGTTTGGGGTTTCTGATATTTTTTCCTGGATTTTTTTATATTTCTATAATTTTTTGTTGAATTTTTTGGTCGGATCTTTTTAATGTCTAAAATTTTTTGGTTGGAGACACGAGAAGGGAAGGAGATCGCACATTTTAATACGAAAGGAAGAGAAAGTAACAACTGTCTCTCTTCCACGGGTCTCCTACATTTGGTCAAAAGGTTGTCGTTTTGAGAGTTCTTTTCTTCTTGCTCTGGGAGAAAGCATGAGGAGAGAGGAGACAGATTTGTAGGAATTTTGGGCAGAATGTTTTGCAAAGATTTTTGCATGTAATGTGGTCCTAGATTTTTGGGGATTTCTGATATTTTTTGGTAGATTTTTTTTTTGAATTTTTGTAATTTTTTATTAAATTTGTTGTTAGATTTTTTGGATTAGAATTTTCTGGTGGAACTGGATAGGATTTGTCGTTTTGAGAGTTTGCGCTGGGAGAAAGCTTGAGTGGACAAGATTTGTAGGAATTTTGGGCAGACTACCCTTTGGATTTTCCGCATATTTTGGTGGATTTCTTTATGAATTTTTGTAACTTTCTGTTGAATTTTTTTGCTAGATTTTTTGAATGTTTAAAATTTTTTTGGTGCAGATTCTTTGGCTAGATGTTTAGAATTTTTAGTGGAGTTTGTATTATTGTTTAAGCATTATTTTTTAGATTTTTTAGTTTAATTTCTTTCGAATTTTTTGAATGTTTTAACAATTTTTTGAATTTGTAGAGGATTTGTAGAACTTTGGGGATTGTTGTTGAATTTTTTGTTAGACTTCCTAAATTTTGTATTTGGTTAGATTTATTGCTTCTTTGTTCTGACTGTTGAAATTTGTGGTTTAATTTCTTATATTTTTTAAAGATTAAGAGTTAGTTTTTTTCATTTTATATTTTTTCAAGACCCATTTCAATTTTTGAAAATAAATTATGTAACGCTTTGTATCCCCATAATTATGCAAGTCAACAATTTACGTAACCCTGGCATAAATTTTAATCAAATTTTGTCAACCTGTCTAAACTTTAATTTATTCGAGTTTGGTGTCCAATTTTTACAACCAGGTTTGTTCCCTGCTCCGAAAGCGACAAGTTTTTATAATGAATTTCTGAGGCCTTTGGACAAAACATGTCTCAATTCATGGTGAAGAGAGTAAATCTTGGAAGCTATATTTAGACATGCTTACATTCTCGGACGTCACATTTCATAGATCGGATCCCTCTTTAGACACCAAAATTTAAAACCATTTGATGAAATTATTTCTCTCACGAAATCCATTTATTTTTAGATGATATCCTTCGACAAGTGTAAAGCCATTGATGCCATAATTAATGGGTTTTAAATTTTGAAAATAGTTATGAAATTCACGCAGTTTTTGCAAAATCTACAACTTTTGTAAAACTTTTACAAAATAAAAAGACGCCCTTGATCGGAGTAAGTTTACACAAATCTCGAAACAATAATTATCGGCTTAATATTTGCAAAATTGTGTAGAAGAGTGAAAGTTTAAAGAATTTAAGAGTTTTACAATGTTACCAAAGCCTTAGAATGAATTGCTTAGACGATAGCAAATTATGATATTTGTTAAATCATTACATATTGCATAATAATCCATTTTTGACAATTTTCATAACATTGTAAATTACAATTTGTAATACTTACAAGGGACACTCACGACCTGTCGTTTGAGTCCAGGGTACCCACTATGTTTTTCAGAATCTACTAGGACCCCAGATGAAGGATTCATTCATATTTCCGTGTAAAACTCATATTTGGCGCCATGGCGTGGCGCCAAATTCGCCAAATTTGCATGTTTTTATTTTTGAAACCGCCATAACTTTTGAAAACCTGTACGGATTTTCAAACTTTT